GCATGTCTGCACGGAACACGTTTCTTCAAATTTAGCAAAAGAAAGTGCTATTTCTTGTTTATCAATTCCACCCAAAACAATAAATAAAATATATTTATAAAAGCACAAAAAACGAGACCTTTGAAAAATTCACAACACACGGTTTGATAAATTATAAAAGTTTTTTTTTCTTCCTTTCTTTAATGTCATTGTGGCACAGTCATAGCAAACTAAACACGCACATCAGCTTTTAGTGTCCAACATTTCATTAACATTCACAGAACAATCTCACGTCCATTTATTAATAACACATTTCCACCTGCTTAAAATGTACAACGTAAGCAAACATATGTGAATCTCGCGTATAAATGTATTCTGCAGGAACAGTTTTCTAATAACCCTTACACAACGGCCCACATCTAGAATGCATTCAAGTGAATTCAAATGGCATGGATTTCCAGCATACATAAGACAATTAAATGAGTTGTACGAGGATGTAAACAATAACATAGCACTAGACTCAAAGCTAGTGTCAAAGACATTATCTTTCTTATAAAGAACAGTCTTATTTTAGATGTATTTTCTTTTGAACATCTACTTAATCACAACTCATGATGATTAAATAATATATATTTAAAAAAACACACATTACAGCATATGTACAAGTCCGTTGAGATCTAAGACAACCGCACATTCCCTACGCGTTACACAGCACCACTCATGAACCCCATACATAACCGAAAGACCCAGAGAGTATGAACCCCATACATGTACAAACCTACACGTAAAAGCTAAAGGTGCAGCCCTGCAATTCCTTGCACACGCCACTGATGGTGGAAGGGCCTCCACTAAAAGGCTCACTCGTGAGCCCCCTCTCTCAAGAGCGCTTTTTGCCATTCCAACTGGCCTTCCCTTTTGTGTGTACGTTGAACTTCTTTCGTAGCCAACTGTGCTAATCTACAAGCGACCTGCCGTTCAACCGTGCAGTGACCATTCATATTACCTGGTGAATTCAAATGGCATGAGCAGAGGGGGCCGGGAGGGGGGGGGGCTTTTAAAAAGATTGCCCATTGTTTCAACTGCTCGGGAACTCGCGTGAGATCAGGAATCACTTTCTCATGTAAAGCGGGTTGATGTTCTCAGCCCAAGTCACAAGGGAATTAACTAAATATATCTCATTGTACAAGTTCGTTTATGCATTCAAATCAGTCTAACCATGCAAGACACCAATGCAATGCTCACAGACGACGAACGCACAGTTGAATATTGTGGTAAGATAGCTCCTTAAAGGCCATCAAAAATGCCACTATGTCACTCCTGGTCAAAATTCAAATGTGACGTGTGACTTGTCATGGAGTTCAAGTAAAATAAAATTCCACTTAACATTAGCGTGAGACTAAAAGAACACCAAAGGAACATTAAATGATCTCAAACACAGCTGTCAGCAGTGGCAGAACATGCTTGCCAACAAGGACACTCAATTGATTTTTTATACCGTTGAACTGTTATGCAAAACGAATTATTACTGACCAAGACTAATTAGAGAATCCATCGAAATTTTGAAAAATACAAATAATTGTAACCGCTCTGATAGCTACAGACTTAGCGCAGCCTGGAAGCGTATTATTAAGTAATACACAATACATATCACAATTCCTTTTAGAGGAGTCGCATACTAATGAATTGATTACTAATCTATCATATAATTACAATACCCCCCCCCCACCTCTAATCTCGAATCCTGATGGGGTTCAACAACAATTATGACGTCATCCTGCACTATTTAAGACCGGAAGCAGGTGGATGGCTTCACTATTCTGGCAAATTGTTCGAAGATGCTGAATGTAATTACCAGCAAAACGTCGTACGCAAATTCTAAATGTTGTGGTTTCACTCTTCAAACACACCGGTGGGCTGAAGAAGTAACTAATTAGCGTTTTGTTAACGTGACACATTTTTTACTAACTGGCTGTGTCTGATGGTGGAGGGTTGCGACACATTTATAATAACGCGATCTAACTCAAAAACCTTTATTCTTGGCAAATATACATGTTCGATTTGCCCTGCAAGGAAACTGGAGCGCTTGGAAAACACATCCCAAAATGTGAGGAACAGGTTTCCAATTCTGCACAGACAGGCCAACGACTTGTTCCCTTAGGTACCTCACTGCCACGCATGTATGTTGAACTTTTTCGCACCGTACGTCGCCAACCATCTGTTTGTGACTCACCAATCCCACCTCCAAGGCTGGGAATTACAGCCACGCGTCGCCACCTCATTCGGCCATTTATTTTAACATCAATTTTAAATATTGGTGAATTGCATTGTCACGAAATTGTCAACAGTGGCAAATGATGTCTAGGGGGGTGGCTAATGTCCACTTCACGGCAGAACGGCGACCGGAGTGACTCCACTTATGCTGGAGTGCCTCTTCGACAAGGTGAACACTTGCACTTACTGTTGTTCGTGTCTTCCTTCACAGTAAGTTAATAAATGTGGTAGATTACTCATGTAATTATAACGACGATGAAATATGACAATTCGCGCATTTTAAAGATGCAAGGGCCCAGTTAGCACAAGCCACTGTTACGTCATTCATACTTTCACTTGTTCGTCCTACTCCATCGGTCATGTGGAGAGAAAAAAATCATGTACATTTATCAAATACAAAAAATAAATCACAGTTTATCATGTGCACACAGGCAGTGAGTACACAATCGTTGAGAAGCAAAGTTTTCCATTGAGGCCTCGCTGTTCAGAAATCAATCTCGCACGCGCGCCAATGTCGCGGTTACAACATAGACGGGAACGTCAGTGGCCGCCTACTTTTTAAAATTACAATCGGCCAACTCTGGGGGTCTCACCTACTCGTGTATTTATTTAAATTTTTAACACGGAACAATTTCTGAACAAGATGCAATTCCGAAAGGTATATGGAATTATACATTAAAAAATAACATTTTCAAAACCAGTTCAATCATATAACATTTGTGATTATGCATCAGTGTGTCCCTGTTCAAGTGAGTGATGGGGCGGCGCTTATCTCTCTTGACGGCTTCGCGCGTCTGTTTTGTACGACGAGGGGCAGTTAGTCAAAGGGAACCGTATTCTTTATACATCCGCGTAGGTGTTTTGCGGTTGTGATGTGTGGCTCTCTGATGTGCTGCAGTGCCTTTGTGCTGTTGACTCCACGTGCTGAGATTTTTTCGGCACTGTGTTTTTTTCCAGGGGTAGTTGTCGAGCAAGCTCCCGGCTTCTGCAGCTCCAAGCACATGGAGCGAAACGTCGGGCATCATGCCAAACAACTCGAGCGTCACAACCCGAAAGCACTATACCACATGTGTTGATTTCTCAAAATTGGTGCAGATTATTAAACATTTCAGAGGAATAATGGGCTTGGGTGCTTTTTTGCTGTTGTGTTGGAAATGGGATGTACTCTTTAATTTAAAGAAACAACACCGTCGTTTTAAACTCGTGCAAGAATAAAAAGTGAAATATGTTTGCGATCTACGAAATTAATTAAATGTATTGCTTAGTTGTTTCAAAAACAAGAGCAAGAATTTGTGAGATTGAATGTGGTAATATCACATTATATTATTGGACAGCCGATGATGACACTCCTAAGTTGCAGGGCTTGGAATCCTACAGTAGAACTTAACACATTAGAAACCCTCACGCACGCACACGCTAATTCTACATACATTACACATTGACATGTAAGTGTACAGCACTTCCAAAACCAATAACATCTGTAAAATAGTATTTACACCTCTTTTTAAATAAGCAAGGGAGAGTCATGTACCTATCACAAGTGGATCTAAATTCGGGAGGGATTCATGGATGTGTGAACAGCATTGGTGAATACTCTTTGGTTCTTTCGGTAAAGTCACGTAGATGAAAATAATCATAATAAAATGAAAATTACTACATTAAATCACGACGTTTCGGAGGCAACACAAAATTACTTTCACTACAGTTATTTTGCTGTGGCTGTTCCACCTGATGACGGAAGCTTGTGTTGCCTCCGAAACGTCGTGATTTAATTTAGTTATTTTCATTCTATTTAATTTTTATTTTTCATCTACGTGACTTTACCGAAAGAACGAAGGAGTATGGATCCTTGCAGTCACAAACACTTCAAATCTAGAAGCATTGGTGAAGTTCATGCACAGTGTGTATTCTGCCGTTTACACATTTAAAAAAAATCTGTTTTGTTAAATATCAACGTAACAATTCATTTCAGATATCCCGATGCTTTGCCTCGGATCAAAATACTGATAATAGCAGAGCACATCGTTGATATGGTATTGTAGCTTCATAAATATATCACTTTGTGTGGGCTTTAAAATTATAAATATACATGTTCATTTAATAATGTATAAAGTGTAGATGCAACGTTTGAAATCATTGCTGTATTAGCAACTATGAATTGTGTATGAAAACAATGAAAGTGAAATTCAAGGCTAAGCCAAGTGGAAAAACTACCAGCTGAAGTAAAAAAAAAATCGATGAACCTCGAATTTGCCAAAACGTTTTTTAGGGCGCAACAATGTGGAATATGTAATTCTATAAAGTAATGCAACACTAAATAGACATTGATCTGTTTTGTTGCTAACAAGTAAAATGAAGTCTTGTTTTCAGTCAAAGTCGTTCAGGCCAATTTTCCAGCAGGAATTGTAAAAGCAGGCAAGGCCTCGATGGGTTTCAATCTGCGGGACTCATCAGCTGTTCGTAACAAAAAAACAGCAGTGTTGTCTTTTGTGTTGCGAATCCTCTGGGAGGGCATTTTCGTAAACATAATTGTCGTTTTCTTGGTTCTATCGGTAAAGTCACGTAGAATGGAAATAATAAAATAATAACAAATTTAACATAATAAAATAATTCTCACGACGTTTCGGCCACAACGCAAGCAGCCGTCCTCAGGTGGAGAACAGGTCTGAGGACGGCTGCTTGCGTTGTGGCTGAAACGTCGTGAGAATTATTTTATTATGTTTTATTATTTATTATTGTATTATTTCCATTCTACGTGACTTTACCGAAAGAACCAAGAAGATGAATCCCTGCAGTCACGAAAGCTTTAAATCGAAAAATAATTGTCGTTATTTTATTTTATGGCGATAACCCCTATGTCATTATTTTGTTATCTGCAAATCATCAAAAGGGTCCAATGTAGGTTTGCTTTTTTTAACGCAGCAAAATGCTGTACATCACTCGTGAAAATAAAGACTACGTATAATCTGATCTCCTTTGCAACAAAGACTTGTTGGCTCATTGCCATCTTGTGTGTTTATACTGTAGTGTATTTACTAAACAATTTTTTTTTTAACCTTCATTAAAAACAAATTTCTTGAGGACTGATTTTTGTGTCTAGTGTGTTGTCCTTTCCCTGCACCTCCGATTAGCATGGTTGGCTAGGTACGGTGTGAAAGAAGTTCAATATACATTAAAATATTACTCATGCCAGGCATGTTTACGATATTCCAAGGTAGTTGAATCGTCCCGAAGCCAAACAAAAATGTATGCGTTAACACGGGGCTTCAAGACACGCAAGTCCGTATGACCTTTAGAGCCTCATTTTCAAAAGTCTTTGCCTTTGAAAGTGACGAAGATGGCACAGGGCAACGTGCTGCCAAATCTCCTTAGCGGAGTATTGATGTATGCACAATGTGCTCCGTGACAAGGAGGTGTGTCAGCCCTACCTCATACAAATTTGTTAATTTCATTGCATCGAACAATGCCAAAAATTTACATTCTCATAAATTACAATTTATATGATGCCGTGCTACTTAATTTATGCAATTGCTCCGATGCGATAAATCGGTTTCCTTGCTCATAGAAGGTCGCTCACTTTGAAATGCAAAATATTCATTGTGGGTAAAATATATATTGAAAAAAATCATATTTGACAGTGTCAAAAATAATCATTCACACGCACCCTGGGAGCCAGATATTTCCTGGGATGGGGCTCCGCTCATATCAAACAGGCGTGTGACAATGATTTCTCGTCCCTTTCAGAATGGCATGCAGATTACCCTGGAGGGAGATTTTTTCTCTCCATTCGACACGTTCGTTGTGCGCGCGGAATTTGCGCATAAAATCCTCGGTAACCCTGCCGAGCGATGAACGATCGTTACCGTGCCGCCGTGGTTGACATTTCGCGCGGCTTTCGCAGATGTTACTGTTCGCTCAGAGCTCTGACATAAAACTCTATAACGGATTTATAAAGTTTATTCTTTTGGATTTGTTTATTTACTATGATGGGACTGGCACTGTCACACCTCCTTACACTGCGCTTATAAAGCAAAGACAAAGATCCCCCGTATAGGCTTAACATACTGTTGGGGCAAGTGCTGTTAGCGAGAATCTATTAAAGACGGCATCACATAAGTGATGGCGTGGCCAGGATGATGCTTAGATGCCCGTGTCTCCCCTACGGCCATGTTTAGACTCCAGTTTTAGGCTGACCTGACTTAAGGGAGGCCGCTGCCAGGATAGATACTTACAATATCGACTCCACATTTTTTTCACTTGTGTGCATGACCAGGAACTAATAATACTGGGTAGCCAGGAGTAGTAACGCAATATATCAAAACAACCATGACTGCTCCAGATATGTGCCAAATTCACTTTGAGGCCACGTAAAATGTCTCAGGCTCTCTGGCAGGAGGCCCCAGGACTAACCCAGTTGTTGCGTTGTACGTGTGTAGAACTTCTTTCGCACCGTACGTAGCCAACCGTGATAATCAGAGGTGCGGTGGAAGGACAACGAACTGACTGATTGACTGAAATAACCGGCAGATGCACTGACTGTGTTTTCCACTGCCTACCTCTTGCTGTGTTGTATACCGTTTTATACATACACACGTGGATATATGCACGCACACACAAAGACAAAGACCACCCATATAGCACTATCAGGTCTTATCAGGCTATTGGGGAAAGTGCTGTTAGCGAGCACCTATCAAGGATGGCACGTCACAGGAGGGGTTACGTGGCCAGCATCGCGCCTGGTCACCTTTGTTTCCCTCGAGACGATGTTTACACATCAGACCAGGTACTTATTTGAGGCTGAATCGACCTCGGGGAGGCCCAGGACTGGTTCAGATAATCGTCCCTGGTGTTGGCCGTGAGAAAGAATCGAACGCGGGCCACACGGTTTGTCGAACAGTGCGCTAACCGCTGCACCACCGCACGCACGAAGACATGTATACATACATTTTCAAATTATATACAGCACACACACATTATTTGTAATTTAGCAACTACTATGATGAATTTATCTGTCGTTGGTCTATAAGATCTGCCTTCAACTAAGTCTAAAAATATGTCGTGCTTTCTTAAAACCTGTTGAGAATATCTGGACCGACTATATCCACTTTTTAAATGTTCCCATAATAGTGTACAGACAGCTTTCCTTCATCCTCATTCTGATGTATATTGTCTGTGGTCAGGAGTTAAGCCCGATTAAAGTTACGTTAATAATTAGTCTTCTCATCACAGGTCTCAATGCAATTAACACTGCCTAAGAAAGCATCTCGAGAGTGTTACTGTTAACATTTTCCTCAAGAAATGTTTAGCATCCCAAAAAGGGGAGGAAAAAAATGCATGAAATACACAATGGCACTTGAAATCCGTGAGCCACGTGGTGATGAGAGGCAGACGGGGCAATACTGCAATGCCTACAACCATGAGGGCTAATTTATGAATGCCAGCTTCTTTTTCAAGTTCCCTTATCGGCCCCCTAGCCTGGACACTTTGCATCCACACAACAGATCTAACGTTCACTGGATTATGCCACGCACACACAACGGCAGATGCACCCATGCAAAGTCCAATATTCTTGGATCACAAACAGAGGGCTAAGTTCCAGTAGTGGCCGCACGCCTTCCTTGATGCCCAGATCGTCCCGGATTATCCCGTCCAAGTCTGCAATCGGCATTAAAAAGAAAATATTCTTTTGCACCCTCTAACCCCATCGCCATCGAGGATCTTTCACATCTGTTCAGCTGAAGACATCTCTCCATCCACCCTCTCGCCATGCCCGACCGCGCACACTTCAGACGTTGGCGTCAGTTCTCCTCCGATTTAAAAAATAAAAAAAGGGAAGGAAATTTTGTTAAAAAATCCTGACTTTGCCACGAGTGCTGCTGTCAGTAGACCCAACTGATGGGCACCCACTGGGGCTCCTTGCCAAGCCCTTCCAGGGCAGCTCTCAGCTTGGCGAATGCCACATCCATGTTGTTGTTGACTATCTTCAAGTCAAAGAAGTGACTGTAGGCTCGCTGGATGCGCACACTCTCGTCCACCGTCTTCTTGAGGTCCGTGTCCTGCACAACTCAGAAAGGGAGAATGAAAATGTCACGTGCGTAAGGCATCTTGTCGCTGGGAATGCAGCGTCGTCCTGGTCAAATCGGCGATTCAATGGCACTCGTGTCATTTTAAGTCCCTGGAAATTCCAATTTCCAACAGCAGCTCGCAATCCCTCTTTAGAATGACCACTGTTGACTTTCCACAAATTGGAAGTGATTTAGTTATTTATTGATGGTGTATGTATGTTGAACATAGCCAACCATGCCACGATTTGCATGGTGAATACTGGACGGTGATAATGCCGTTTTGCAATGAATGGTTATCACACGGGGCTTGCAATCAGGAGATTACAAGTTAGATCTCCCCGCTCAGTAGTGGAAACAATGGGGCCAGTTTTATTAATATCTCCCTCCTATGCCTGCCTCTGTCCACAAAGCAGTATAATGAGCTGAGATGACCTCAAAAGATTTAAATTGTCAAATGTCTGCGTGCGGTAATTCCCAATAGGTGTATAAAAACTGTGACCACCCCTGAGATAGCCTGGTATGAAATGCGGCAGTCTTGCAAGCGAAAGCAGAACACAGAAGATCCAACTTTAATCACTTGACTTACGGTTATCTACGCACGTTACGAAAGAAGTTCAGCATACTACGTACATGTATTGATGCCTAATTTATTAGCGGGGCGCTTGTGAGGATTATTCCACCCACCTACGGAGTGCTAATGCTCTAAAGCATTACATCCCAGCGTGATTTGAACAATCTGAGCCCAATCTCGCATGGAAGTACTGTTGCCAAGTAACAGACTCAGCAACAAAATTGCTCATTAAAAACAATTGGATAAGGGATGCAATAAAAATGTTTTAAACGAAATCTGTGAATGCACACAAGTATCGATGCAATTTGACGAATGTGTGAAGAGGCAAACAGTTTTAAAATGAAAGCTGTTCGTTCTGCACCCTGCGGTAAGCCATTCGCTAATAAACACACACAATTCTAAGCCGCATTTTCTGCGGCACACCAATAACTGTTATTAGTGCATAAACTTTCAAATAAAAACGTACAAAAAAACTTGGAATTGGCAATGACAACCCTAAAATCACCCCGAGCAAGTAATATGACAATATGCAAATCTATTTTATTCATAAAATGAAAATAAGTATGTCGAGGGTGTATTCCTCCTATATTGCATGTGAGCACCACGGTCAACTGATAAATATAATTGTCCTGAATAAAAATCCAAGTTGAGGGGTCAACTTGGCTCCTCATCCCTCCAGGGTTGATAAAATCTGCACCGCTCCGTTAGAAGTAAACCATCGCAAGCAACTGCATTCTCTGCTCATCCTCCGGTGGACTGGACAGCACTAATCGCGCTACTCCCGAAGATATCGTCACGTGGCCCACAAACATAAACCTGGATGTACAATATCCACATTGAGTACTTGCCATGCGCTAGAACAAGGATCGTCAACCAAAGTAACATAAAGAGCCATGACGTCACGAAGCAGTCCTTCGAGAGCTGCAGGTGGCAGACGCCTGCGCTAGAAGAAGAGAAGTTGTCAACCAAGATGGTCCGATGAAGAGACTGACCCCTGCCGTGAAGACGTTCAAGCTCCACCCCATTGGCTCAAAGGAGATGAGTTCCACTCCAATGTTTGTGTGAGCAGGGAGATGCTGCTTCTTGACTTTGAAGGTTTAAGAGCTCGTGTGATTTTTCAAGGTGTGTGTGTGTGTGGATTGGAATACATAAGTAGTGTCGAATAAAAAAAACCCAGCATGCACTACACATCCCATTTCAGGATCCTCCTGAACAAAAAATGAGTTTTCGTGGATATGTAATTAGAAAAAAAGTGATAAGCTCATCACTCTTCACGGTCTGGCAATTGTCCGTGGGTAATAGGGCACGAAAGAAAATGTGAATAGTATTTCACTGGCTATCCTGGAAATAAGCAATGAGAGGAAGCAGGCTGGAGAGTAGAAGATGGGAAGCAGAGACATGGGTGATGTAAAAACCCAACTATTTTTAGTGGCATGCTGCTGAAGAGTGTGATAGATTAGTGCTGTGGCCATAGAAATGTTGTGGGGTCTTGTGGTGTGAACCTGTGAAATTATTTACAAAAAGTTATTGTTTTATAGTAAAAAGTGCAAAGATCTATGGGGGAAAAAACCCCAACAGAAATCAATATATGCGGTCTGGACCTCATAGAGAAGTAATTTAAATTTCTGGAGGCCGTTTTTGTATGCTATGTCCGTTGCTTACTGGATCAGGGCCAGTTTAATTTAAAAAGTGATGAAAAGTTTGAAAATATATCCTCAGGTCATGTTCTTAGTTCTTTCGGTAAAGTCACGTGCAAGTTACATCCAAATGAGCCGCACAATCCTGCCCATAACCTCATGTTGACTTGTAGCCAATATGGGGGAAACATTATTAGGACAAGTTATGACCATGTTTGGGCAAGAACGAGGTCTGTTTCCCAAAAGCCAGTCTTTGAGTCTTCCTACGAGTCCTCGTTTTTGTTTACCACTCTTCTCTATTAAAACATAAATCAAAGGTTTATTAGCAGCACACACTTCTGATGGCTGGTAAAAAAAGGTGTCAGTTTTGTTGCCAGATAAAAGGGTAAAAAAACAATTATCATATTTTGCTACTGGCAAAGGAGGTTCCAATGGTGTAAAAGCTTACCCCGAGCTCTCATACTCTGATGGTGCATTGTCTTTGAGTTGTGCGCCTTTTGGCGTCATCTGGTCCAACACCATGTGAGACTTGGCTCTAAGAAAAGCTGTCTCGGGTGTGGACCAATCAATTTAAAGGACAGTGCATACATTATCAGAGTTGTGTTTTTTGTTTGCATTCCGACCGCAGGTATTGTGGTCAATGCAAACATGACTCCTTGTAAAAAAATGTGTCAGTTTTGTTGCCAGATAAAAGGGTGAAAAAACAATTATCACACGTGGAGAGCCCGAATTATGGCTGTGCGTAGGAGCGGGCTAAAAACGTCAACACAAAAGTAGCGTCGACATTTTGGTTCCGATGCATCGATGATTTGACAACGACGTTGATCCCTCCGACAACGTCGGCAAATCCTCGCCGTCCTTTCGACATTTTTACGGCCTGAACAAAAAACCGCGTATTTGTATTTTATTTTCAAGCTCATTGATGAAACAAAACCCTGAGTCGCTCTCCAAAAGCCATTGGCTGGTGTATCCACTATAGATAAGCTTTGAAGTTAATTTGCTGGAGATGTAGAATTCAAAGTTTTCTGTTTGGTCGAGTGCTGACCAAACTGAATTTTTTTTTTCGACAAAATGATTCACGATTATTTTTAACAACGTATCCTGGAAAGTAACTTAAGTTTGCGAGCGTTCAGTCTGCAACAACAGTTTGTCTGCAACAACAACTATGCAATTAATCTATCATGAGCTTTTTTGCCCGTTCAAGGACGGGTGTGTATTGCAGTAAATCTGAAATATTCAATAGAAGAATTGTTCAGCTCATGATTATTAATGAAGGGGGGGGGGGGTGCCCCATGTGGAGTGACGTCACCCGCTAATGGTTATTGTGGAGGGGTGCGGCATGTGGCGTGACGTCACCCGCTCATGATTATTAATGAGGGGGGTGCCCCATGTGGAGTGACGTCACCCGCTAATGGTTATTGTGGAGGGGTGCGGCATGTGGCGTGACGTCACCTGCTCATGAATATTAACGAGGGGAGGGGTGCGGCATGTGGCGTGACGTCACCCGCTCATGAATATTAATGAGGGGAGGGGTGCGGCATGTGGCGTGACGTCACCTGCTCATGATTATTAATGAGGGGAGGGGTGCGGCATGTGGAGTGACGTCACCCGCTCATGATTATTAATGAGGGGAGGGGTGCGGCATGCGGAGTGACGTCACCCGCTCATGATTATTAATGAGGGGAGGGGTGCGGCATGTGGAGTACACGGCCTTCTTGTGCGTTAGTGTAAATTTCCACGCGGGCATGAATATTAATGAAGGGGGGGGGGGGGCCTCTTTTGCAGTAACGTCACGCACGGATGTAGCACTGTGCTGCGTAGATTTATTTTTTACCGTCACTTTCTGTAAAGAAACGTCATATTTGAAGCGACTTTGTGTAATACATTTTTTAATTCAGCTCGACCTACCTCTGCGTTAGTGTAAAAATCCACCCACTCATGAATATTAATGAGGGAGGGGGGGGGCTCATGTGTAGTGACGTCACGCGCGAGACGGACAGACATTTCTGGGTGATAATTATCGTAGGTAAATATCTTCTTTGATAATAAAAAATTGTTTAGGAGTGGGAGTGCTGACATTTATGGAGCCCACTGCTATGGCAGGGTCCATGCTACTACCGCTTGGGTATGAATAGCCCAGGGCAGAAAACGAGTACATCATTTGAGTGGGCAAAGCTTAGTGGCAACATTTTCGTAATACGGCCAACACAATTGAATTACTGCGATACATTTTTCAACTGGAATCGCATGCAAATACGATGTACGTTTATAGACATTGTAGAACAAGTATAACCCGTAAAAACAAAGTTTTTCACTTATAAATCCTTTATATGCGTGGCGGCTAGAGTCCTCTCGTCCTCTGGCTTGAGATGGCTGCCACCTATGGGTCAGATGATTGCATGACACCATTAAGCAATTGGTAATGAAATATGATATTTTTGTCCTAAAAAGTGTAAAATTTTGGAATTTCAAGAACATTAATTGTCACGCACAACGAGTCTGTGTGGAAAATGTCAGCTCGATTGGATCACGGGAAGTGGGTTAAAAAACGACCGAAAGATTTGCACGGTCGTAAGCAAGCAAGCAAGCGCGCAAGTGAACTTAATATAAAGGATTTTAAAATAATATGCCATTATGTGTTTCGGCTGGCATTGACAATATCAGAGTCCGGTCTGTGCCGCTGGACATTCATCGCGTTCCAGTGCCTCACGGACACGGGCACAGCCACGCTTTGGGGGTGTCGCGCTCGGGAATGCTTCCCGGTGGTTATAATACCAATAATTACACTGGTCAACAAAAACAAAAACATGTTTTTCTGGCCTGGACTTTTGCAACTGTTTTAGACTAATTTCAGGGTGCTGATTCCAAATCTGATCTCAGATTTGCTCTATCACATCTCATTTTTATGCTATCGGCATACCCCATTTTCATTGATTTCACCCGAAATTAACTCTGTCCCTTATGATATCGGTGTGTCCAGCACCTTGACTTGCCCTGGTCAGAATCAGGTGATGGCTTCATATATATATATGCTGCACAACATTGCTAGAGGGAAATAAATAAGCAAATAAACAAACATCAAAATACGATGTGCAAGTCCAATCGAAAGTGAATGAACACATCCGAGTTCTAGCTTTCACCTTGTCGATGCTATCCATACGTTTACTACGGTGCTATTCCTGACTGCTTTAGTGTTAAAATATGGTGCTGTATTTTTAGGATAGTGTGTTTATAATATCATTTTATATAGCTATCCACATTTATTTAATATTTTTCTTCTGCAGTTTTTATTGAAAATGCAATATTTAAGATCTCAAAAACCTGATGCGATAGACAAAAACTGACGCCAGATTTGGAATCAGCACCCCAAAATTACCTTAAAACCGTTGGAATACCTTCTGCCAGAAAAAGTGTGTTGACCAGTGTTATTATTGGTCAGATTCCAGATAGGGCCTGTAAAAAGAGAGAGTGCCCCGGACGGGCCGTGTCCGCGAGGTGCCCCTCACCGTCAGGTGCTTGCTGGTGGCGCCGGCGTCGAGGGCGGCGCGGTGCATCGCGCGCAGCGTCTCCAGCGTGGGCGCCGCCACGAACACCACGAAGGGCATGAACTCCGCCGTCCGCAGGACCTTCAGGGCCTGCGGGGCAGCCGGCAGGGTCTCGTGATCAACGCGGGGGACGGGGGCAGCGGGGCACTCAAATGGACTGATGACTCGTTAATTGCTTTTTTTTACCCTTCTATCTGGCAACAAAACTGACACCTTTTTCACGAGGAGTCATGTTTACACAGACCACAATACCTGCAGTCATAATGCAAACAAAAAACATAACTCTGATAATGTGCACTGTCCTTGAAGTTGATTGGTCCACACCGGTGGTGTAGGTGCTTACCCCGAGCTCTCATACTCTGATGGTGCATTGTCTTTGAGTTGTGCGCCGTTTGGCGTCATCTGGTCCAACCCATGTGAGACTAGGCTCTAAGGAAAGCTGTCTTGGGTGTGGACCAATCAACTTCAAGGACGGTACATACATTATCGGAGTTATGTTTTTTGTTTGCATTATGACTGCAGGTATTGTGGTCTATGTAAACATGACTCCTTGTAAAAAAAAAGGTGCCAGCTTTGTTGCCAGATAGAAGGGTAAAAAAAGACCAATTATCATATTTTTTACTGGCAAATGAGGTTCCAATGGTGATGACTCGTTCTTATATTGCTGCCAGGTGAGGGGGCACCCTGAGCTGTACAGATGTTCTTCACAAGCGGCCTGGCCATCGCAAATGATAGCTCGGCCGAAAGTGGGCTCATCGTCACGTGGACATTTACAGCGGACAAGCAATCGAAACGCGTGAAAAATCCACGCGACCACGGGGAGAACGTGCAAACTCCCAATATCCAGCAGGCGCCGGGGTCTGAATCGAACCCACGACCTCCTGTATACGAGGCGAGGGAAGTTAACATTTCGCCACTGTGGCACTTTGGGGCTGCAGACCAATGCCTGAGATTGTGAGAGATACCCTCCCCACCGCACTTCCGATAAGTACGGTTTGCTACGTACGGTGCGAAAGAAGTTTAACGTACGTACGTGCATCGAGTTTCGTCGCAACAATGCACTGCTGTACTAATGAAAATAAATAGAAGTAGGCAAGGCAGTTTTTTTTAAACCATAAATAACCAGCTCAGGATATGTTTGGGTCTGTGGTATCAATGTTACTCTGGAAGACTCGGTGAAGTCAAACCAAGTCAGGGTCACCTTACTTAAATGCAACTGAGACTGATTCATCTTAAAAACCCAAAAGGCCAATGGTTTAAAAGCAATTCAGTTGGTGCATTCATGTGTTTGATTAAACGTTTAAACTTGAGAACGCCATTATATATATATATTTTTCCATATAGTGACAGACATTCCTTAAGGATACCTTGTTATAAATACATTTTCTTGCAGTGAACAGAAACATTACAGAAAAATGAAATTTTTAACCGAGTAATTGTTTTAAAACGCCTGAAGAAAAAAACATGCACCTACCCATCTGAAACGCTTTCGGCTGCTTATGTAAATGTACGGTAATAAGCGATGCATCACACGGAGTGGCGCATGATAAAGTGGGCGGTTGTTATGTTGAATTTTAATCTGTCTTTGCCTCATACCAGCAAGGAAAGTGATAACGCTGCACCCCGCATGCAATATCAGTTGCACAAACTGGGAAACTTTCACAACAAATATACAAACAAGCAAAGCAAACAACATTTTGTTACTCGGCTGTAAAAGCAAACAGTACGCACAATTTATGAGTTATTAAAATAAAATGACGGGCCAAAACATTGCACATTAGGAACCATGGACGACTGGTAATACAAGTCCATAGAGCATTTGGGTGAATGTGTCTAACATTTGGGTGAATGTGTCTAACATTTGGGTGAATGTGTCTAACATTTGGGTGAATGTGTCTAACATTTGGGTGAATGTGTCTAACATTTGGGTGAATGTGTCTAACAAAGGAAACAATGATAGACACTCTCTATCCTGCTATCTCAATTGCCCACCGCAATATGCATACATTAGCCAAGTTCCTATCTAAGGAGTGCAAATATGTCTTTGTTTACATGCTGGAAATGACTTAAAATACGTAATGCGAACATTTGCTCAAGCGTTTCATCTATGTACGGTTGTTATATGTGTAGTGGGTAATGTAGTGACATAAGAAGGGAGGGGCTGCTGGGGGCTCTGGGATCCCAGGCGAGTCCAGACGCTTAAGCCTCTGGGCGCCAGGCGCTGGGTTCCCAGGGGGTCCAGACGCTTAAGCCTCTGGGCGCCAGGCGTTGAGTCCCCAGGCGCTTAATCCCCTGGGCGCCGCCAACGGGGGGGGGGGCTGTGTGTGCTCTGTGGGATGTCTGGTGGCGCACACGGCCCCACCCCTCGTTGGACCAGGCATAAAAGGAGAGCTCCCTGGACGATCGGGGCCCAGTTGTAACTCAAGACCCAAGACCCACGACCAGCCATCTGAAGACCCTGAGATGCTGCGAGAGCCAGCGCTGGGACTCTGGAACTCCCGACTCTGGAACTCCCGACTCTACGACCTTGTGAGGGCGAGTTCCGGAGCGTAGCCAGAGTAGAGTATCTACGCTGTGTAGCTAGGCTGTGTACCTAGGCTGTAACAGAGTATCAGGACTGTTGGTGAGTTGGAGTACTGTTGGAGTGTTGTATTGTAATAAAGAAGTACATCTACAAGTGTCTCCGGAACCCGTTACATATGTAAAAAAAAATTATACAATGCAAAATAATCTCCCTTTGCAGCCAGACAAGCTATACATGTTGCTGACATGCTGACATGGAGCATTATTTTGGGGCACCCATTGTATTTCCCGCACCTCCGATTAGCACGGTTGGATACGTACGATGTGAAAGAAGTTCAACATACACTTTGTGATTTGGTACTCGGCATATTGCGCTGTCTATGTCCTTGTGCTGTCGTATTGTAATCTTGTAGCCGCCACTAGGTTGCAATCGATATTACAACCTAGAATCCGCCTCCGCTATGTTTATTGAGCCAAAACTAACGACGTGGAGAAATGTTTGTTTGGTGAACAACAAGAAGGGTATTATCGTACTGATCGTAACGTTGCCTTGTGTATTTGACCAGTCTTGATAGGTGCTCGCTAACTGTGTTCGCCCACTACTGTCTCAAAGAGTGATCATGGACAGACTGGCACCAACCATGAGAGTGTGCAATTGTCACTATGGCCTCGGGACAAATAAATGAAGGTGAGTGCCACCACGTTGCCTATGTGAGCAGGACAACGCATCTGTTATAACTGAAGAATCTTAGCCTTGTCGTATTTGTGCGCATATATAAACTATTTAAAACTACCAGGTAAAGCCCATTGAGCCGAATGGCTCTTTTTGAGAAGCGACCTCGCCACAAATGATAGCTCAACGAAGTGGCTTATCGGGTGGAGATGTATTGCAGCCGCCAAATACTCTCAACAAACGATTCTAAATGTGAAGGGAAAAACCAGAGGACCCGGAGAAAAATCCATACCAGCACGGGGAGAACATGCAGACTCCAAATATACAGGCGTCAGGGCCGGGATATAACCAATGACCTCCTGTATACCAAGCGAGGTATTGAACATCTCGCCACAGCGACACGTAGATGTGCTTGCGTGTGTATGGCCGCGTCTCTGTGTGTGCACGTGTCCTGTGTGCAAGTGAAGGCATTTCAATTACAACTCGAAATTGGCAAGGTGTACACAACATTCATCCGGATGTGAAATGGCACACATTTCACATTTGAATTTATTTTTACAATTTATTATTTTTTACATCTTTTGTCAGAGAGTGCAAGCAATTGCGGACGGACAGGAAGAAAGGATTCACGAGATTTGGTGGCGGAGGTATTTTTAGATCAGACTGGCACTCATTTAGCCAAGCATGATTGTGTGCTTCCAAGTCATCTCTCGTTCGTTCAGTATCCCTTAGCCTATTATTTCTTCTTTGCAAAAGTACTGCGGCACATTTCACTTCTGCTAAATGGTGTTGCCGCTCGTGTGCAGGCCTTCACGCGGTTAGCTTGTCCATTCTTCTTTCTAATCCAAATATAATATATGGCAGTGCGTTTCAAGACATTTCCAATATTCTATTCACTGAACAAATTGGAGTTTGTTTTGATTAATTGGCTGGTGTGGTTAGCGAAATAATGTCAGCGCCATGCAGGATATTGGTGTGTCCAGCACCTTGACTTGCCCTGGTCAGAATCAGGTGATGGCTTCACATATATATGCTGCACAACATTGCTAGAGGGAAATAAATAAGCAAATAAACAAACATCAAAATACGATGTGCAAGTCCAATCGAGAGTGAATGAACACATCCGAGTTCTAGCTTTCACCTTGTCGATGCCATCCATGCGTTTACTACGGTGCTATTGCTGGGAATGGCGATATGTTCAGGAAGTAAATGTCATCGTTGAGGTCTGCTCGCCACGAGAGGGCTGCAGGAGAGAGTTGTAGTTTTGCTGTTTTTCCATTGAACGAGTGCAGACGACAGTGGTTTACTATCTGGCCCACAGTTTGGGTCGCATGGCCACAGTCACATCACTGCGTCTTGTCTTTAACTTTCCATTAATGAAGGGGATGTGTGCATCGGTCTGTTGATGTTTCTGATGTGGTCGATGGTTTTCCCACCGGCGCCTTCGAGGAATGTCAAAGCCCAGGACGTGCAAATGTTTGGGTTTCAAATGAGGTGTTTATTTTGGATATCTGCGTAGCTTCACTCCATTCTCCAGCATTATGCCGGATCTGGGTGAGATTCTAGGATGGCTACAGCTTGATCCCACAAGGGGGGTAAAAGGTTGTCATTGGCAGGAAAACGTGTAAACCCCCTTGCAGTTTGCATGCCTCTATGAATAATTTTCTGGCAGAATGTTCACCAGAACAAGGAGCCAGGGGATTTGTGTCAGCTTCAGTGTTCTGGTTATGATGCACATTGCATGATCTAATTGCGTGTTTAGCAGTTCTGTGTACGGGCTCCCAGGCCAGGCTGGGGCGCAGTGCCTCTGCCAATGAGTAGCTCAGTGAGAGGGTGGCAGTTCGCAGCACATCAGCTGACTCGCCCCAGGTCGTTCCTGCAAGTGTCTACTGCAGGGCGATTCTTGATTTTGTCTAATCACAGATCTGTTTTATGTGGGGTTTCAATGTCAGGCTTCTATCCATGATAACCCCGATATATCTTGGAGTGTGCTCAAAGCACATTGGCCTACCGCAGAAGGACAACATCAAGGGTGTACATCTGCTGTGTGATTCTTCAGGTGCAAAGCGCTCGTGGTGGGTTTGGAAGGATTTGGCCGAACTCTCCAGAGATGGAAATATGTCTCGGATAAAATTAGATCGGATGTTAGAGTACCGGCAATGTTCTGGGGCTTCGTGCCCTTTGCAGCAAGGGCTATGCTATCTGCATATATGAACTCGCGAGATAATGAACATAGCAGGTCACTCATATATATAATGTGTTTGTAACGATGCTAGTACCGAGCCTTGAGGGAGGCCATTGTTCATAATTCTATTGTGACTGTGTTTACCAATTAGATGTTAGCGTACACTGAAAGTGCATTTGCTGAGCATCACATCGATTAGATGTCCAGTAGAATGGCATCTGATTATTACAGCCAACTTAAGCAGCAGGCCATGATGCCAAACAGTGTCATAGGAAGCAGAGAGGTAAATCATTACTGTTCCGGTTTTCTGTTGAGTGATGGAAACCAGTTTCTACCTACGTATGTATGTTGAACCCTGCTAATTGGAGGTGCTCTGTTGATTTTCAGGCACCGAGACTCAACAGGAGTTGCTAGGCTTTACGGCCGGAATGAAGTCCAAGTCTGCAGTTATGTCTTCCCAGCGTGTTTCTTCGTGCAGAGTTAAGGGATACCAGCAGTGCAGTGCCCTTATCTTTGTCACCAGTTCTGATTAACTTTTTTCAGCAAGTTATTTTGTTTCATGACATAGCTTTTCTAATACCCCCTCGGGATGTTTTTTTTTGCAGCATATGTCAGAATTTTTATGCATTCATAAAAGTGTTGTGGCTTTGGTTCCAAGATCTTCAATTGGGTTTTTCGTTTGTTGATCGTAGCCGGGCCAGTCGGCCTTCCAAAAGTTCCAACGCAGCCCAGGGTTTTGAGGTTATGACCGGTATGAGTAATCCAGTGTGCGTGACTGCCACCAGTCTGTGTTGTCTCTTTGTAAAATTGTTTATAATTGTTATTGTCCTTTTGAGATGAAGCATGAGTTTGGATTATAGCCTTATAATTTTTATCGGGCTGAGTAAAATGTGCCTGGCTGTTTTAGGGTCGTATATAAGGAATGCGTCTCGTGCCAAAGGCCATTCCATGAGTTTCTCTCCAGCTTCATCATTTTTTGAGTATCTCCATTGTGTGCGGCGGCTGTTTAAGTCTCCCAAATTTATAGCCGGGTGAGTGGCTGCTGGCAAAGGTGGTGACAGCCATTCCTTATTCGGGGCCTGTATACATTCATGACCAGCAACATGGCCGACAGTGACGGTTGTTGTTGATGCCTTGTCGCACGTGGTGGTGGACTTGAAAGCATAGTCATTTAAGCCTTGCCTAATGAAGGTGGCGAGGCTATTGTTAGGATGGTAGATGGCACAGCAACAAGGGTACAAACATTGAATTCGTAGCTTGTCGTCTTCGTGCCGTCCTTGGCATGAGCCTCCTCTAAGGCAATGCCGTCCAAGTTGTTTTCCGTTAGGTCTCCAGCCAGGAGGTCATACTTAGTTCTTCAGAGTCCTATATTTAGGAGTCAAAGTTACTGCTCGACACGCATCTGAGCCAGGAAGAGCCACACTTAAGTTTGTTGTTAAGTTTGTTGTCCTTCCCCCGCACCTACGATTAGCACGGTCGGCTACGCACGGTGCGAAAGAAGGTCAAGGTACGTACGTACCCACCACCGACACCAACCCACCGGCCTGCCACTCATCCACCGACCAGTCCCGCACTCAACGTACGTCCACGAAGAAGTTCAACATACATACTGTACTACAGCACATTGCCAACCAACTGCGCCGGGATGACTGTGAGCCGGCTCACCTGGGGGTTGACGTCGAGGATGCACATCTTGCCGGTGCGCACGACGCCGTGGATCGACTCGATCTTGGTGCCGTACAGGTTCCCCTCGTACTCGCCGCTCTCGAGGTAGCGGCCGGCGCGGATGTCCGCCTCCATATCGGCGCGCGACACGAAGTAATAGCCCTGGCCCTCCTTCTCGTCGTCCCTCGGAGGCCGAGACGTGACTGTGGAGCAGAGCGTGGGAAGACAGAGTGACCAACAGATAAACGCAACGTGAGCAGTCACGGTTGCGAGATGTTAACTACCTCGGCTGGCGTGCAGGAGACCGTGGGTTTGATCCTGACCCTGAGGACACCTGTATATTTGGAGTTTGCATGTCTCTCTCCTCGTGGTTGCGTGGATTTTTACTCGGATCCTCCTGTTTTTCCCTCCACATTTAAAAGCCTGATTTTGGAGTATTTGGCTGCTGCAAATTTACATGTGATGAGCCACTTCGTTTAGCTATCATTTCTGGTCAGGTCGCTTCTCAACAAGAGTGATATAGCTCAGTGGGCCTTACCTGGTAAAGTAAAAAAATGTTATAGCTTAGTTTAGTCAGTGGGAAACTCTCTCAATTGGATACTAAAAGGGGATTAACTCATTTCGATTTAAAGCTTTCGTGACTGCAGGGATTCATCTTCTTGGTTCTTTCGGTAAAGTCACGTAGAAGGGAAATAATAAAATAATAAAAATAAACATAATAAAATAATTCTCACGACGTTTCGGTCACAACGCAAGCAGCCATCACCTGAGGACGGCTGCTTGAGTTGTGGCCGAAACGTCGTGAGAATTATTTTATTATGTTTTAACATTAGTGGAAATGTTCGGTGTACAATTGGCTCTATCACCACTCGTATCTTAACATTTGTGCCGATCATCTACCCATCAAAAGGCTGGAAAGTGTTATTTTTACGCAACAATAGAATCGAGCTCATATTTTGCAGATACGTTGTAATATCATCATCACCATCATCCCTGATTATTAATCTAACCCTACAATGGATAATAACCATTATTGTCGGGATGGATATTCTGTCTGAACAGTCTATTTCATCAAGGTATGTAATCTGCAGAAGCATATTTCTCACACCGCGCGTGGTGTAAATTAAAAAAGGTGCCACTCGCTGTGCCATCAGAGCCATCGTTAATGATGCTTAAATCATTTACAAGCACACGGATGCAGGAGAGCGCGCGCATTTGCTTAGAATACACACCCTCTATATTTGCCTTTGAAGAAAAGCGAGTGCGTGACCATATTATTTATTTCTGATGCTGCATTTTAATGGTAAATTTTAAGGAAGCCTATCAAAAACTGCATATTACATGGGACAGAGGAAGGTGATTTTGAAAGAAAATGTACATTACAAAAATACATATCAAAGGCTGCTCTATGTAACTTGTGGGTGTTGATGCTCGGCTATAACAAAACACACAAAAAAGAAACGCACCCTCTTCACGATGCAAGGAACTGTAGAACACGTGTGCAGCCACCCACAAGCTGGCGTGACTTGCACCGATAGGTGTGGACACACTCATCGCAAACGCTGGCGCTTTGAGTGGTATCAGGGAGAAATCGGAGACCCAAATCTCTCCCGTGACAGCGATGGTCGCCATGCGACCGGTTTTATAGAGCAGAAAGTGCGCACGCAATTGGAATGGCTTTTAAGCTGGTTAAGGTGATATAACAACTCAGTGTTACAAAACACGGCCCAGTGGCACGGCGATCATTATCGCTAATTCAGGTGCACGGTTATGTCCACATTACAGTATTCATTGTCTTGCCATCACGATACCCGGTTTAGTTGTTGTTGGTGGTTTAATCTAAAAAAAACAGAGACGTTGCACACCACACACAATACTGAAACGCACAGCATGCAACTAACACATACATACAAGACACAGACAAAGATCACCCGTATAGCCTACATAGACCGCTGGGGCAAGTGCTGTTAGCGAGCACCTGTGAAGGCCAGCACGGCACACAAGGGGCTGGGTGGCTAGCACCACACCGTACCAGGTACTCATTTGAGGCTGAGTCGACATAGGGGAGGCCCAGGACCGGTTCAGATAATTGTCACTGTGTGTTGGCCGTGAGCGGGAATCGAACCTGGGTCGCCAGGTTGATAGCGTTGCACGCTAACCACTACACCACCGCTCCCCAACACCCAATGCACACCACACGTGCAGCAACAACAACAGTAGCCATTGCGCCAGGCTAGGTGCACTTAAGAGGCCAGATACAACCTCAATGGGCTCACGAAGGAAGGAGGCCACGAGACAGACCCAGACTGAGTTGACTGGAAGATGTTCCACGTGTAATCCCAACTGCGTGGCGCATATACCCACTTGCCCCGCTCGCACACGTAGCAGGAGAGAGAAACCCAGCGGAGTGCAAGCATCGTGCACAGCTGCATGCACAGCGCACGTACAAGGCACATACAGCGCACGTACAAGGCACATACAGCGCACGTTCAAGGCACGTACAGCGCACGTACAAGGCACGTACAAGGCACATACAGCACACGTACAAGGCACATACAGCGCACATACAAGGCACATACAGCGCACGTACAAGGCACATACAGCGCACGTACAAGGCACATACAGCGCACGTACAAGGCACGTACAAGGCACATACAGCGCACGTACAAGACATACAGCGCACGTACAAGACACATACAGCGCACGTACAAGGCACATACAGCGCATGTACAAGGCACGTACAAGGCACATACAGCGCACGTACAAGACACATACAGCGCACGTACAAGGCACGTACAAGGCACATACAGCGCACGTACAAGACACATACAGCGCACGTACAAGGCACATACAGCGCACGTACAAGACACATACAGCGCACGTACAAGACACATACAGCGCACGTACAAGACACATACAGCGCACGTACAAGGCACGTACAAGGCACATACAGCGCACGTACAAGACACATACAGCGCACGTACAAGGCACGTACAAGGCACATACAGGGCACGTACAAGGCACGTACAAGACACATACAGCGCACGTACAAGGCACGTACAAGGCACGATCATTCCGTATCGCGACGGGTTGGCCACGAGCAGGCGGTTCTTGAGGCTTCGCCGACCGACCCCCTGCGCTCCGATGAGCATGAGCGTCTTCCTCTGGAACGGTGGCATCTTGGCAACTTCCTCGTAAATCAGGATCTCGTGGCGGTCGAACTCTGTGGGGGAGACACCCGCGGGCTCGTAAATAACCACAACCTGCGACAAATCGCGACGCTCTGCATTACTGTGGTGTCTGCTTGCACGTGGTTTATGTGCGCGGTGAGCGTTACACCGACTGATCCGGACCGCCGGTGTGCTTAGGGGTGCCGAATTGCCATTTGGAAAGTTGTAATCTTGGTTCGGGATTGATTTTGGCCCATTATACCTCCAGGTTCAATAACACGAGTACGGCTCTGTGGGATGCCAAAAGTGGCCATTCTTTGGAGGGAGTGGTTCCCATCACAGAGTATGGAATTTCTCCTCTTGGCTATAGACTATTAATGAAGATGGGACGTGCCCCTACGATGCTTATTTGGGCAATCATTTTGGCACTTTTTTTTGGCAAAATGACAACTGTTTTTCCCTAAAATTGGGCTCATGCCACATTTTGCAATTCATGCACGGCTGATTCAACACACAAAGAAAAGGTGGCCCGTTCGGCCACGATGGATTCCTCACGGCCAGAATCATCCACTGTGGGGTGGTATTAGGCTTTTGGCGGAGCCAACATGAGCACAAAAAATTAACCCGTAAAAACAAAGTTTTTCACTATAAATCCTTTATATGCGTGGCATCGGGGCGGCTAGAGTCCTCTCGTCCTCTGGCTTGAGATGGCTGCCACCTATGGGTCAGATGATTGTCTGGCAGCATTAAACAATTGGTAATTAAATATTTATTTATTTACCCCTAAACAGTGTAAAATTTAGGAAAATGTTTTCACGAAAATGCATTGTCACGCACAACGAGTCTGTGTGCAAAATGTCAGCTCGATTGGATCACGAGAAGTGGGTTAAAAAACGACCGAAAGATTTGCACGGTCCTAAGCAAGCAAGTGAATTTAATATAAAGGATTTAAAAAAGGTGTCTGCAGATATGCGTAAAGTTTCTGCCTTTGTGCGGAAATGCGGTAAACACGCCCGGTGGGGTGGGGGGGGGGAGTTCATGCGGGGAGCACTGAGAGGTCACGTTGACCAATACCACCCCTAATCTACGTGCACGCGTATCGCCCCCTGTCCGAGGAATGTTAACGGAATGTCTGAATACATTTACAGCAGGTTTTCGTGCGCTCTAAACCGTGGAATTAAAGTGGTAGAGTGGAGACATTCAACGATGATGATAAAGATGACAATAATGATACAACTGTTGAAGATGATCTTGACACGATCATCATGATGGTGATGATGCTGTTATCACTGTTCCTGCTGATGGTTCTGCTGCTGCTGCTGATGATGATGACAGTGATCGTGAAGATGACGATGCCAAAGAGGTTGTGTTCCCAGGAAAGCTTCACTCAGACCTAATACTTACTTTTAGAAGTGATGAAGCTAAAACACCCATTTAAAAAAATCCACACTTGTCAGGGATAACACTGAAACACCCAGAGATAGATACACGAATCCACTTTAGGTTAAGCATGTGTGGAACGTTCATTAATCGCTATGTTATCTACTAACCCTTGCCTCCAAAGTGATGCAGGTATTGTGGCAAGGCCGTAGCCATGGATTCAACATTGGGGGGGACCAAATCTTCCCGGGTGTCTACGGTCCCAACCCATCAAAATATCTAAATTTTAAAACTCATATCCTGCCTAAAATATTAAAAGATTCACAAACACATGAGCTGGATTTAGTTTTTTTACAACAATGTCTAATAGTGTATTGTATTACATTGCTCTGTTTATTCTTTTTACATTTTCTTGTTATTGTATGCAATGGCAGAGATTAGGGATTTATAAAGTACAACCATAACCACAATCATATTAACAGAAATCTATGCATTGATTTATATGAAGACAAGTCCAGATATTGTGGCCAAGGTTGAGCAAAGTGTTGTTTTTATTTACATAGCATAGCAATTGTTTTCATAGCAATATATTGGGGGGGGGGCATTTTGAGAATATTTGAATATTGGTGGGGGATGTGTCCCCCCCAATATATATATTATAATTACGGCCTTGTATTGTGGACACACCGCACCAGGTTACCATTTGTTCAGGCTGAGTCGCTTCAAGGAGAGGTTCACAATACGTTCTGATACCACTCGGCAATCGATGCGTGCCACGACCAATAATTACACTTTGGTCGCCAGGTTCGCAATGCAGTGGACAAATCAAATCGTTGCTCACATTGCACACACAGCAGCCACAAAAAAGATACAGCCTTAACAGACTGTTGGGCTCAGTGTCACGAGTCCCTATGGAGGCCAACACAGCACACGAAGGAGTGGTGCGGCTAACACCACCGCCTTTGTCTCGCCAGTGCTGATATCGACACATTGCACCGGGTACTCATTTAAGGCTGAGGCAATCTAGGGGAGGCCCAGGGTCAGTTCGGGTATTGCTCACAACTGATGTTAGCCACGGCTGGGAGTTCATTTCAAGGTTGCCGGGTTAAGAGCGCAGTGAGCTAACCACTGTGCTACCGCTCTACCATGAATAATGTATGGGTATATATGTGTACTGTAAATAATACAAAAATGTGCAATTCAATATACAACAAAAATCCTGCATAGGAAGATGGAATACATAATTACAGGTATAAGTTATAGACAACAATATGAAAGTGTGTAAACACCGGCACATGAATAATGGCTCTTCGATTTCAAAGCGCTTTGAAGCCCCACTTGTTTCATTTGTACGAACCCGGCGACCTGGGTTCGATTTCTGCTCGCGGCCAAAACTGTTGACGATTATCTGAACCGGTCCTGGGCCTCCCCTAGGTCGATTCAGCCTCCAATGAGTACTTGGTGCGGTGTGTAAACATCGCCACTGGGGATACAAAGGCGGTCAGGCGTGGTGCTGGCCACCCATCCCCTCGTGTGCCATTCCGGCCTTCATAGATGTTCGTTAACACCACTTGCCCCTACAGTCTGTTAAGGCTATATGGGGGATCTTTGTCTTTGTTACGTTGGGAGGGAGAAATGTTGGTAAGTGGTATTCTCAGCCATAGATAAGATATGATATCTGAATGTTTCACAATCCTCCCCAAGGTGTTGACTTAGTGTTAAATAAGTGCTTTGTATTAAACACCACACTTTGGAGAAAACGGTTGAATGGGCAACCCTCAATATGTGCTCAGTCACAACTACAAGAGGTATCTATGCAACGGAATATATTCTCAGGTTAAAGCGTGCTTGTGCATATTCGCATATAAGCACCCCTCGTGTTGCGTGTCATTTGTGACGATATGGGTTTTTGTGAGGTCATTTCTCCACCAACCACGAAAATATATAAATACGTACATCACCAAGTCATTTACCGCAATGCTGTTCGTGCGGATTGCTCAGAAAAATGTTCACGTCCAAAGGCTGCGTGGCGCTTCCCGCAAGCTTTACGATCCGTTCTTTTGTGAAAAATTATGGATCGTGGACGCATGTGAATTGCACTGAATTTACCGTACTGCTACAATTTACGTCCGTAAAAATGTGTAAACATGCCAAACTTACAGACTACGGTTAGCTGACGCTGGCTTTGATTTACTCTGCATTATTTCACTAAATTTAAAAGCTTCCACTTCATAATTTGGTCATTTATATATATAACTGTTTTCTCAAGTAGAAGAACTGATTTATTTGGATTTTTTTTCCATGCCATCACTTAGGGAAGGTGATCAAAAAGTCCATGGCTGAAATCGGCTTGTGCTATCCAGTGGCAAAAAGTCACATTTTGCAGATCAACGATTCTTGAATGGAAATATCTTGTTTCCTCATCAAATAAATGAAGGCATGCACGGATGCATCTTCATCCGCTGAGAAAATGGAGTCATGAAATCAGCTCTTGGGCAGTTGCTGAGTGGATTCCTATTCTTTAGTAGGATTGTGAGAGATGGTGATCGCTTGGAAAGACCTTGTTCCAGTGGTGGATTGATCATGGCTGATTATGATGATTGTTTCCTAAAAAAAATCGTGTGACACAGGTTCCATGAGAGTGGTGCAACAATGCCACTGACATGAGGCAATATGACTCACTTGATGTGCTGCCCTAGAGTGATGTTTTGAGTGACAAAGTAAATACACTAACAATATCGACAGGTAAACGCTCACACTGAATCCATCAAATCAATTGGTCTTCCAGATCAATGCTTCCCTGTAGCTGTCTCTTACACGAGATATCGCAACTGTTCCAGATAATTAGTTTGCTAAAATGCTAGTGGATTACGTTGATCCAAAAGGCACACTGTTTTGTGACTTTAAATGTTGTTTCATTAACGCAATTAAACAATCTCTTTCGTTTGCAATGTCTTTGCATGATGCCCAAGAAGCTGTTCATCTTTCGTCGCCAGATACAAAACGTAAACTCAGAATCTTGGCCGTGTGTGGGGCGTGGGGCAGCCATGGATATCAGCAATTCAGTATCCTAAGCATCCCAGCCAGCTCCCGAGATAAGGGCATCAATGATTTGAGATGCTATCGCATTGCTTTCAATGACTTTGCTAATTAACACAAGAAAGTTTGGTCCCCTGGGCTGGAAAAAAACAACAACAAAGTTTATTTCATGGAGGTCAAGCCAGGCTCTTATGGGCCACACAGCGGCCACCCATAAGACCCCATCAATCGCCACGAAGTGACGGTGACTTCGCCACAGCGTTTCCGCTCGGCTAGGTGTACGTTGAGGCCACGTGAAGTGTCGACGGCTCGCTTGGCATGGCAGTCACAGGACAAACCCAGGCGTTACGGGTTGAGTGAGGGGACTGGCAGATCTACTAGGTGTGCTCCCCACTGCACTGACTTCGTGTGTCTCAGCCACCCGGCGCTCTGCTGTTGTGAGCGTTGCACTGCTGCCCTCCGTTGCTGTTTGAGGGAAACTGCCAGGCAGCATATTTCACAGAGGTCGATATTTTAACTTAAAGCTTTCGTGACTGCAGGAATTCATAATCTTTAGGTCTTTCGGTAAAGTCACGTAGATAGGTTCAAAGAAAATAACAAAAAATAACCAAAACCACGACCGCTTGTGTTGTGATCGAAACGTCGTCGTTTTTTGTTATTTTCTTTGAACCTATCTACGTGACTTTACCGAAAAACTCAAAGAATATAGAGGTGGATATTTATACCGTTTTTTGCCATTCAAAGGGAAGTCAATACGCTCCAAATATCACACCCCCCCCCCTCCGTACAAAATCAGCCTCTCAATCGCCAATGTTGTGCCCATTTACATATACAGATACACCGACACATGCTAAGCCATGAATAGTCTGGGGCAAAGGACTCAACTTTCATAGACCTCAGTAGCCCAGTAAGACACAAAATGTGTATTTAGCCCTCGGATGTCCATTGCCGTTGCTCTGTCGAGGAGACCTTGCACACCCAGCCCGCCCTGTGTATTACGTCTGCGGTCACGACCTTGTCATCTCTCTGTGTGCTTTCATTAAAAAGGTAGGGCACCAGCGCAGTGTAGCGTGTAATAAGCAAAAATAAAACACGATTCAATTAAAATTAATTAGTCCGAATCGGCTGCTTCATGATGAGTGTGTCCCCAATGCACGCACACGAGGTCAAGGTTTGAATGTTGAGCGTCGACTGTTGCCTAAGCAAGACCTTAAATTAATAAGGTATACGATCACACACACACACACACCACTGTCAATATACAGACATATCTCGTTTCTTATCTTAAGAAGCTCTGATATTAGTGGATGGGTCCAATCTGGCCACCCAAAGCTCCATCACTTGTTAGGAGGTGGAGCAGAGGGACAGTGGTAAGCACCACTCTGTGCTTTGAAGCCGGTAACCTTGAGTTCGATTCCCAGCAATGGCTAACATCAGTAGCGAGTGATATGGAACTAATCATCAAACATGCACCTTCATCAAGCTGCAGTGACCAGCGTGGTGAAGTATATTCTTAGGTTTTTTCGGTAAAGTCACGTAGGTAAAAAATGTAAATTAATAAAAAGTAAAAGAAAAAGAAAAGAAAAAAGAAAAATCACGACGTTTCGGAGGCAACACAAGCTTCCGTCTTCAGGTGGAACCGTCACAGCACGATTCCTGTATCAAGTAAGATAAATTCCAAGATACAGCAATCGTGCTGTGACGGTTCCACCTGAAGACGGAAGCTTGTGTTGCCTCCGAAACGTCGTGATTTTAATTTTATTTTACTTTTTTATTAATTTTATGTTTCTACCTACGTGACTTTACCGAAAAAAACCTAAGAATATGAATCCTTGCAGTCACGAAAGCTTCAAATCTAGTGGTGAAGTATGGTCAAAGAGTCCCCATCACCAGCATGGTGGGCAGAGACATATGCAGTGGATTAATACTGGGCCGTGTGTGATAATTATAATTACATTTCATGAAATATGGTTAATTAAAATAACACATCATCACCACATGATTCACACTGCATTCATATAATTATAAAATATTCGTCATCCAGCTCAAGTCTACATCTATATCTTTAATTACATGCAGTAGAACTTTCCAAGTATCGTGTAAATATTAAATATATGTGTGGTTGTTAAAGGTTTCGAGATTGAGTTATTAAAAGTATGCACTAATGCCTAATTCATGATTCGCATAGCTCACTTATTCTATAATATCATTATAACATTCAGATATGAAAATGAAATAAGACCAATGCTCGCTAACTTCGGCATACACTGGGATGTAACAATTATTTTTATTAAATTACTTCTAATACTCGTGATGCACGCGTCGCATTTTGCTGGTGAAAATATCGTAACACCGATCCGCATCGGTTTCCTGCGAAGAAACGTAGGTGGACTAGAGAAGGACGCCATCGCTCAGAGGGATGACGATCCGTGTTCAAGACTGCTGACGGAATAGCAGACAAAGGGAGATAACGCGTCCGAGGGAGGGGGTGACCACCGCAGAGAAGGAGTGCGGAGATCCGCTCGTGGGCAGGAAAGAAGATGGATCGTATTCTTAGGTTTTTTCGGTAAAGTCACGTAGATAAAAAATTAAAATTAATATAAGTAAATAAAAAATAAAATAAAAATCACGACGTTTCGGAGGCAACACAAGCGTCCGTCTTCAGGTGGCACCGTCACAGCACGATAGCTGTATCAAGTGAAAGAAATTCCAAGAAAACAGTCCTTGTATATATACTGGTTGAGGGTGGGAGGAGCGCATAGTTTTTTGGAAAGTTTAAAACTCTCCAATGTGCGACTGTGATCATTCAGAACAGACGGCATGTACGTATGTATGTTGAACTTCTTTCGCACCGTACGTAGACGACCGTGCTAATCGGAGGTGCGGGGGAAAGGCAACAAACTTAACACAAAAAGCAGTTCTATAGAAATGAGGTTTAAATCTAAAAAATATTGTTTTCCATCTGGAGGCTGTTGATAGGCTCAGCTTCTGACCCCAATACTGTATATTTCACGTACGATTATAAAACATCACAACGTAAGTAAAAGGTGCAGAGGCGAGAAGATTGATACATGTGGCGTGAGAGTTGTCAGCCTCTGCTCCAGTTCACAGAGAGCAGATACGTGTATGTATGAATACAGCATATAACTCCGCAATGCCCGATGCACAAATACGACCGGCTGATGATCATATTTGCACAGTGCTTTACTACTAAGGTCGCATAGTCTCACACGACTTATAGATTCTAGCAATGATACGGGGGCAAAAAAGGAAGTGATTTTGCGAATTACATTATGATCTGAAATATGTAGAAAACACACATGTTCATAAAACGTGAAAGAAGCAATTATAGGGTGTGGTAGAAGCATCCATACCTATTCTGATAAAGATAACGTGCGCGTATACATACACAGGCAACAGCAATTTCTTGAAACAAGGTCACTAAAAACACATCCATTTTAAGTTAAAACGACTTTCAGTGAAGAAAAAAATGAAATCACGAGGTTTATTTTCAAAGTGGAGCCCCCCCCCCCCCCCGCTGAGCTGAACACATTTTGTGCTTTTCTGCATAACCCCCCCCTCCTCCTCCACTTCAAAATTGTAATATAACAACAACGCCCTCCCACCTTCAGCAAATGAGCCTACACGCGTGTGAGGGCTAAGTGCAGTTTATTTTTAGATCCGAGCTTGCGGCTGCAGCCAATGGGGGGCAAATAATTTTGTAGCCCAGCGAATGTTTCACTTCTGGTTTATGCAGCTTGAACGATCCCGGCAGAACGACGGGAAAAATAACCGCCCTACCCCCCCGTTGCACCGCACGCGTTCCACTCTTCGTGGAAATCCTTACCTGCATTTTTAGTGGACATGTACATCATTTTCTTCTTCTTTTTCCCACCCAAGACGCCACAGAAACCTCCTGCAACAAAAAACAAAAACCGCACCACGCAACGGTTGTAAACGTGCTGCCAGTCTCACACCTACAGCAATTTGTTACGGGTTTCATTTAACCCACAGACACTGTACTCTGCTCTGAAAATAATGCCTCAAATGTGTTTGGTGTTAATCTCGCATCAGAAAGGTAAGGGGGGTGGGGCATTCGGGTAAGATTGTTCGACTCACAAAAGTGTAAGGTTGCTCTTTACAATTCCATTTGAGTGTCAAGCCATTCTGCCTTAGTCGATGTAATAAGTAACACTTTTTAAAGGTCAGCATAGGCCATCCTATGGAGGGATTGGTCTCCAGTATAGAGTGGTGACACGGCACCAGAATTCGCACCAAATATAAAAAATGGACTTGCAAATGACGATATTGGGACACGCAAAGCACATCATCACCCCTCAAATAAAAAAAACTAGCAGGCCCCTGCCGAAAAGAGTCTCAGACTCGGTAATTATTTCCTGTATAAACAAATATAATAACAATAATTGAACAGACATATTGAATTTCAACCCTCTAGCTTAGGACCACTCATGGGCAATTCTGAAAATTCATCTGAGCAAGGAGCCATTTTGGCTTTCATCTTTGAGTTACGTTATTTTTTTAGTTTGGTTTGGAAAAGTATAATTATATTGAGCCGTTGTTTTTGTTACACAAGGATGCTCTCATTTCCAAGCCCAACTTGAATTGTTTAAACTCTTCACCAAACACAACCCCAATCAAAGCCTCTGGCTAAATCAATAGCCCAGCAATCCGCCTGCAACATATTCTGTCCTGAAGAGATTGCGATATAACTGTAGAAATCGACTGAATGCTTTACACCGTCCCTTTATTGTGTTAGCATGCTGACATTACTATGTGCATCACATATAACAGAGTACAATGACTTTTTTAAAGCGAAATTTTAATTAAAATGCACACACTTATACACACAATCGCACTCACATGTAGACGCACACGGGGAATATTTGCAGCATTACCGGCAATTGCTAAATTAAATTACTCTTCTACAATTGTCTCTTAAGTGCACATTGGGGTAGATGCTTCTCTGATGATTTGGAAGGCAGGAAAAACTCATTTCCATAACCTTCCAGAAGGAAAGGCTAGTGTTTATTGATGAGGATATCGCGTGTGTGTCCATGCACCGAGGTATGTTCAAAAGACTGCCCCATATAGCCGTATAGTATTAAATCGTGATGGGAAAAGTGTTGTTAGAAATCACCTATTGGGACTGATACAAAACATGAGGAGACGATATGGCTAGAAACACAACCAGATACGTGCATCTCCACAACACCAAATTTTTATGTAAGGCTGAGTGAACCGAGGGGAGGCCTTGGGTACGTTCAGACACCATTGGTCAGTGATACCTGTAGGAACAACAGGTTCCACACTGCCCACCAGGGATTATTTGTCTGTCGTGCACGGCCCCGCCCCACCAGAGCCCTCCCATTGGCTTGGGGGCGCCGACCAATGGGAGCGGTGGGTTGGGGTTGGTAGAGGGGGGGGGGTTAGTGGTGGGGGGGGGGGGGCACCGCCGCGACTCGGGCCAATGAGGAGACGGGCGATGTTTCATTCACAAAATAGAACTGGGGGAAGGTGGGGGGTGGGAGGGGTGGGGCTAGGTGGAGAGGGGAGGGTGAGGAGGGTGGGGCTGGGTGGGGAGGGGAGGGTTGGGAGGGGCTGGGTGGGGAGGGTGGGGTGGGGAGGGTGGGGATGGGCTGGGTTGGGAGGGTGGGGCTGGGTGGGGGGTGGGAGGGGTGGGGCTGGGTGGGGAGGGGCTGGTCACCCCGTGGTGCCCTTATAAAACTCAACGTTTAACCTACACACTACACTATACACGACACGATACACTCCACTTATACAGGTAGGAACAACAGGTTCCACACTGCCCACCAGGGATTATGCGTCTGTCTGTCGTGTACGAATGCGCTGTCCAACCAAGTTCTTACCTGCCCACTCTGAAGGAACGTGTTATATATATTTTTTTCTCACTATGGCTGGGAATCAAACCCAGGTTACAAATATTGTCGTTTCAGTGTTTGAACCAATGCACCACAGCGATCACAACAACACGATGCACCACATGCCTGCACACAGCAGAGCGTCTAGCATTCAAAACAACAGGCAGCCTAAACGTGTTGAGAATGAGAAATTAAATGGCACAACTTATGTTGACGTTCCATATTCACGTACTACGTTGTAATTAACGACCACAATAGTCAATGCCAGTGTATTCGCACATGCATTGAAAATAATAAACAGACCAGTGTGTTTTAATTTTTTAATTTTATGCTTTCGTGACCGCAGGGATTCATATTCTTGGTTCTTTCGGTAAAGTCACGTAGAAGGCAAATAATAACATAATACAAATATAAAACAATGTGTGTGTTTAATTACAATTCCAAAAAACAAAGTAGCATGGGAATATACTGTATATGTATACTGTAAACACAAGCACCATGTACAACATCACACACGTGCCAATGCGTACATTTATATTACTCACCAGAAGATTTGCAGCATTAATGAAGGATTTCTTTGATAGACTAAATGAGTAACCATAACCTTTGCGCTAAAACAACACGCATACGTGGATTTCACCAGCTTTAGATTGCATGCAGTCTAACATTCAGGCTGTATAATTAAATTTGCATGAAAAATTATATTCCAGTTACAAAAAGATATTTCAACTGCCGCATAGGCACAAAAGGTTAATTATGGTAGCTTTTTTCACTTTATATATGCCTTTGTAATTTACTTGGATTTACATGTGTTCTAGATATTTAATGGGCGATCCTAGACATTTAATTTCTGAGGTAAAAATAGGAAACTTTCCTCTCCTACTCCACAACATAATTCGGCGAAGCTCTTATGACTTCCTCACCCAGTTTACTAACTGTTCATTATGTCCCAGATGCTATCTATAAGCCAAAGCATCCACTCAAAACTGACAGCCTAGACTTGACGTTTCTATTTTGCAACTCAAGTTTTCACTTAACCGCAATATCAAGCAGTCTGTTTGATTGATGATCTAACACTCGCCGTTTCAACTCGAGTCAGTCACTCCAGTCACTCCAGTCACCCTCTCATCAGTCGTCAGTCGCCTCCTTATTGCTCTTCTACTATCGCGATGATCAATGTTTCATTGCTTTCATGGCCTTATTTTGGTGATTTCGAAAAGTATATTGGTTTAATTCTAGATTTGAAGCTTTCGTGACTGCAAGGATTCATATTCTTAGGTTTTTCGGTAAAGTCACGTAGGTAAATTTTGATTTTTTTTACCTACGTGACTTTACCGAAAAACCTAAGAATATATTGGTTTAGCCATCTTCTTGGTTCTTTCGGTAAAGTCACGTAGAAGGGAAGTAATAAAATAATAAAAATAAAGCAATGAAATAATTCTCACGACGTTTCGGCCACAACGCAAACAGCGTCTTCTCGACAGACCCGTTCTTCACCTGAGGACGGCTGCTTGCGTTGTGGCCGAAACGTCGTGAGAATTGTTTTATTATGTTTTATTTTTATTATTTTATTACTTCCCTTGTACGTGACTTTACCGAAAGAACCAAGAAGATGAATCCCTGCAGTCACGAAAGATTTAAATCGTGGTTTAGCCGTGTTTGTTTGTTGTAGTACAGAGTTAGACTGATGGCCTTAATCTAAGTTGTCTTGTGGTTGTTGTTAGTTGTTTGACTTGCATCCCACTGGGATTTTTGCACACAGCGTTGGTGTACGGTGATTTTTTTCTGCAATGTTTTGCTGTCTTTTCTTGGATTTCTGTTTGCACTTAGTCACATATTCACTTTAAGATGTTTTTGTTCATGTTTTTTGTTTGTTGCGGTTGCACCCGATTCAAGAGCCGAATGGCTCACAGGGCTATACCTAATAAATGAACTTGAACTTGAATGGTCGCTCTTCTGATTAACTCATTCATCCACATAAACTCCGGTCATCCTCGTAGCGGCTTTAGGCTGAGCCATCGAAAAAAGAGAGTCACCGCACCGCGCGCTTTCAAATGCGCTTCTCCGGCCGTCTGGAATGCTCTTCCTTCCGATACGAGGAAGAAGACACTGGGAGCGATGCAATTTTTAATTAGTCTACATCGAAAAATAATTTCTTTAGAAGTGTTTTTTTTGTGTTTAGTATGTTCCCCTTCCCTCGTACCGCTGATAAGGTACGGTTGGCTACGTACAGTGAGAAATAATTTCAACACGGATGACTTCCTCCACATATTGAGGACCTGTGTATATCTGACTGTGTCCCCTCATACATGCTGTGTTCAACCACTGCACTACAGGTCTAAGCACTTATCTTTGCTGAATTTTCCCTAATACTGCAATTCCCACCCACCATCCCTTCCCCCCTCCCCAAAGTTCTCATAACCTCGCTCAACTCAATGAATGTATCGACTCCTATCTATTGCAGCGGTATATTCTTGGTTCTTTCGGTAAAGTCACGTAGAAGGGAAACAATTACATATTTTTTATTGTTTTATATTTTACTTATTTTATTGTTTCCCTTCGACGTGACTTTACCGAAACAACCAAGAATATGAATCCCTGCAGTCACGAAAGCTTTTTTTTATTGCAGCAGTGTTTGGGTCTTTGGGCATCTAGCTCCGGGATGATAAAAAAAAAAGAAAAAACCTCAGAACAAATGAACTGGAACCAAGGGAGCTGTGTACGGCTGGGTCAGGAAAATAATGCCCTTGTCAGAGCACTGAGCTGAAAACACTGAGGTCTTGGGATCACATTTAATCTGTATTGCAGTGACCGATAACTGAACAAGGTTCTCCAGTGTAGTTGGTTGATGACTCAAGGTCACCACAATCACAACTGGTGGGATTATTTCGCCAATTTTGGCGCATTTCAGCTGAGTTGACAGACACGTGTCCAACATGGTCCATGGCGCGCGGAGGAGCGGGAGAAGCCTGCGGAATTCACTGTGGAAGTAATCCCTTGATCACATCCTCCAGGGCTGTTTCCCCGACATGATGTCACGCTCTGCTCGCTGCAAGGATTCAGCAAAGACAGTTTCTTTACCTCATTAGATGAGCTCCACACCAGAACCAAGGTGGAAATCAATATCACGATGTCAGTGTGGCCAAAGCCATTGATTGTAGCACACCTTCGCCAAACAAATGGTGACTATAATTGTAACAAGATGTGCACTGCATATATAATATTTATTTTGAATGTGGAGATCTGGACTAAAATGAATAAGAGTATGCTGCGAACAAGATATTACATTTGAGAGTGGCTACTTGAGATATTATAATTTTTTTTTTACCATTTTATCTGGCAACAAAACTGACACATATTTTACAAAGGAGTCATGTTTGCATAGACCACAATACCTGCAGTCATAATGCAAACAAAAAACATAACTCTGATAATGTATGCACTGTCCTTGAAGTTGATTGGTCCACACCCGAGACAGCTTTCCTTAGAGCCTAGTCTCGCATGGTGTTGGACCAGATGGTTCGAGTTCATTTTTACTGGCAAATGAGGTTCCAATGGTGTACTTGAGATATTCCTGATTTTTCTTATTTCGATGCTTTGCAACTAACGGTGAACACGGGCATGCATTAGCTCCACCCGTCTCTCTCTCTCTCTCCATCTGGCTGTGACATGGGATCACGATAACTCTTGTGCGTAAAGATGTAGACATTTTCAATGCATTGTGAATTTTTCTGGTGCTATCAGGGAGCTGACCCAGACAATACCGTCGACCAGAGCGTGTTCCAAATCTCGGCGATTAAACAAACGATCGGAAAGTCTGCGGCCATGACGCAATCGTGAAGCGTGGCTTGGAACGTTTTGAAATTCACGATGAAATGTATATATATTTTTTATGCCAAAGAGAATCATTATTCACAACATGCGTGTATCTGCATATTTAATTGAGATGCATATATTTATTAGATGCCCTCTGACAATATCTACTTTCTGGAGCACGACCTGGTCACCGAATGGTGAATGATGTAGGGAATGAGCCTATTAGACAATGTACGTGCACTGTGATACATGGACTTAAGCGAGAAGGGTATGACAGCGCCTCTGGCAAAAACCTACTCAGCCCCATTATACAGTAGCAGCCAAGCCATTGTCGGCGATCACGCAATTAATGTGGCCGGCTTGCATGAATAGTATGACGCAAGGTATGATTAAAACACTCGTAATAATTACCGTAGTCTAGAAAAGACATTTAAGGCATATAAGTGAATTTTGTTCACGATCATGTTCGCTCTAAATGAGATTAATGTATAATTGCCATAGTTGTATCTGTACACACACGTGCCTGCACAATGCAACATTATTAATGTCAGAGGCAGGGGGGGGGGGGTGTGATATTAATAAGGCATTACAAAAGCCCCCTACGTACAGGAATGGCAGGTAAGACAATTCCTACACGTGTATCTGTGTGGACTGTGATCCTTTAGTTATGTATGGTGTCTGTTCCGTGTGAATACGTGAGTACGTAGATTTATTTCGCCATACGCGAATAGGAAAACGTGTTCCCCCCACTCTCCCTCAATATACAATGCTCTTAGCAAATGATGAATACGAGACACGTGTGCTGAAATCTATTCTGCTTTTGTCGATTATAATATGTGTGTGTGTTTGATTTCTGCTCCCCGTGCAGGAGCCAGTGGTAAAAGCAATGGTCCATCATCCAACTGACATGTCAGGAAGTTTTCATTTCCGTGTCTTAACACTTCACAAAAATGTAAATCGTAATCTTTTTTCATTCAAGGGATTTATGCTGGGCAGTTTCATGGCCCTTGCACAAACACACAGACACATTCACATCTCAACTTGCGAGGTACGAGCCAATTTTAATATAAATTAGATTTTTCATACAAACATTCAATTTTGAGATGCCACTCCACAGTTTTGTGTGATGCATCGGTGGAAGTGTGACTGTGACTGTGTAACGGTGGTGGTGCTGTGTGTGGCTGTGTGTGTGTGTCTGTGTGTGTGTGTGTGACGGTGGTGGTGCTGTGTGTGACTGTGTGACGGTGGTGGTGCTGTGTGTGTCTGTGTGTGTGTGTGTCTGTGTGTGTGTGTCTGTGTGTGTGTGTGTCTGTGTGTGACTGTGACGGTAGTGTAGCGGCTAGCATGCTGCGCTATGAACCTGGCGATCCGGGTTCGATTCCCGCTCACGGCCAACACCAGTGACGATTATCTGAACCGGTCCTGGGCCTCCCCTAGGTCGACTCAGCCTGAAATGAGTACCTGGTGCAGTGAGTAAACATCACCACTGGGGAGACAAAGGCGGTCGGGCGTGGTGCTGGCCACCCACCCCCTCGTGTACCGTTCCGGCCTTTATAGGTGCTTGCTAACAGCACTTGCCCCTACAGTCTGTTAAGGCTATACGGGGGATCTTTGACTGTGACTGTGACGGTGGTGGTGCTGTGTGTGACTGTGACGGTGGTGCTGTGTGTGACTGTGACGGTGGTGGTGCTGTGTGTGACTGTGACGGTGGTGGTGCTGTATGTGACTGTGAAACGGTGGTGTTGTGGTGTTACCAAACTTGCTTTTCTCGACTTTTGGAGGATTAATAACCTGGACAGAATATTTTTTGTCAGTTTGAAAAAAAAAACACTCGCGCAATGGAAATGTGAACGTCAATTCACGTGAAAGAGAGGACCTTTAACATAATTTGTGAAAATAATATAACATAACGTAACAAAGTTTATTATAAAACATTGCCCTCACAGAATTGACACGTGATAATATCGTTAAAATGCAATGTGCCTTCTGTCGCCTGTATGTGTGTACAGGGATTCTACATACGAACGATTTATGTTCCAGAGGTCTGTTCGTAAGTCGATTTGTTCGTAAGTCCAACTTTACTCCTGTCTATTACAAACATGTTCTACGGCATGTACACTAAATACGGGGAATGGCTTTAAAAGTTGTATAATCTCCTGTAGATGTAGATGCCACTGGTTCTTCACGTTCCGCAGATGTAGATGTCACCACCGTCATCTATTGCGTGGCGGTCGAACTTACGACTCTCGGCCCGGACAGCCAACTGGACATACGGGCAGGTTTGTTCGTATCTCTGAAAGTTCGAAATTCGAATGTTCGTAAGTAGAGGAGTGCCTGTATGTTGAACTTCTTTCACACCGTACGTAGCCAACCGCGCTAATTCTCGGTGCGGATGCTCACCAGATACGCCCGTGTAGTCCCACTCGTGCCTCACGTAAGCTTTCCTCTTCTCCTCCAGCGTTTGGCTGGGAATGAGCCCGGCACTGCCTCCATCCTTCACCTTCAGCGCCTGCCTCGCACAAAGCAGACCGCTCGTCAGAATCACAGAGCAGACCGCTCGTCAGAATCACAGAGCAGACCGCTCGTCAGAATCACAAGCAAGCTTGCCCCGCTTGCTGCTGACAACGCGCACGGGGGCTGTCGGGCAACGCGCCAGCTTGCTGACATCCGCGCTTTAACACCATCACATCATCATCATCATCCGTCCGTCCGTCTGTCCATTCACCCATGCAGCCCGATTTGTCTCAAGATGTACGTCTGAAATAAGGAAGATCCTTGCGTATCTCTAAATGCAGCGCTTTGTATTCGATGTAGAAATGTATGTTGAACTTCTTTCGCACCATACCTAGCCAACCGTGCTAATCGGAGTTGCTAATAGGTTGCTCATAAAACTAGCTAGCGTCATCTGTTCTGCAAGGATTCACAGAATAACAATAATAACTTAAGGAGGCTATCGGCAATATAGCTTATATCCGATATATATAAGAAACAATTTAAAGATTGTAAATGTCTTTCTGCTCAAACACAGAGCAGTGTTTATGTCCTAAGTGCTGACCTCAGTGCTAAATGGGGTTGTTGCGATGTATTTTTAAATCCTTTATTAAATCCTTTATATTAAGTTCACTTGCTTGCTTGCTTGCGCGCTTACGACCGTGCAAATCTTTCAGTCGTTTTTTAACCCACTTCCCGTGATCCAATCGAGTTGACATTTTGCACACAGACTCGTTGTGCGTGACAATTTATTTTCATGAAAAAAAAATTCAAAATTTTTCCACTTTTTAGGAAATTTTTTTTCATATTTAATTAAAAATACCAATGTGATAAAAATGAAACTTTTACTCAAGAAAAACAGAAATGAATAATAAAATAAAACCGATGCCACGCATATAGTGAAAAATTTTGTTTTTACGGGTTAATTTTTTTCATGATACGATACAATCTACATTTGTAGATACGATAATTATCATGAAAACAGTTTCCTGTAACGTACAATCGGAGTTTGCAATTGTATTGTTATTTTTTGTGCTCTTGCTGTACATGCGGTAAGAATAAAGCTTGCTGAAAAGTTATTTAACTGGAATTCAATCAACGTAAACCTGTCATTGGTATTTTAGTCACTTGTACGTTACAGTCGACTGCACTCATAACACACACATTTTCAATCACACAATAAACATATGAACTACACAAACGAATGCATGATATAACTGCTATGCCATCAATTATTCTAGATAACGGGCTGGTGTTTGTCATTTAAAACATATTTTTGAAAGAATTTTTTCAAATAATTATTCGAGGAACGATAATCATGCTACAATTAACTTTTGCAAAACGGATGATACAATTATTGTGGACCTTGTATCGTGCGATATATCGTAGTATCGCCATATCTCAGCATCCATGGTCCTAAGCCAGTGGTGTAAGTTCCACTGATGTGTGGCAGGTGTTCGTATCTCTACAGTGGAATCATTTAGATATTGTGGCTCCACAAAAACTGTTAGAAATAAAAAGTACATTATCCTCTCTTGATTGAAATGAGCAAGGACACATGTTTTTTTTAATATTGGATGATTCTTAAAAGGCTATAAGCTGGCTAAAAAGTAAAAATTATATTTCTAAGTAGCCGATAGCCAACTAAGACATGTCCCTTTCAAGAGAGATCTAAGGAAATTAAAGAAATGATTCAGGGTCATTTCAATGTTTCAACTCTGTCTCACCCATCATTCACCGCATTGCCTCACATTTCGTAGATGACATTTCCTTGATTGATGTCCAGACTCGTTGCGATGATTATTATGAATAGCTGTTTATTGCATCAGTTGTAGCTGCTGCTGTTTGAAAGGCACCTCCCTCATTGTGGCTTTAAGTCGGATGTTTTTGTACTGCCTCAATGATCCACACTAAATAAGTAATGAAAATGAAGTAAGTAGCTAAGTATCAGTTTTCTCCAAATTCATATCTTTCATACATCGTAAATGTGGGATAAAATTGTTGCTCACATAAAAATCTACGAGAAGGAATAATAGGTTAATAACAGTGATTTATCTAGCCAAAGCCTTACTAAATCTCGTGACTTTTTCAGGCATGTACTGCTTTGGATAAATTTGAAATGCATAATTGAATTTTCTTTTCCAACGTAAACAAAACTAGGAAGGAACTCTCACTTATCAGGGGAATATTGTTCACATATCCAGAGTTAGGTCAGCAACCTGCTTCCTGTATAATTTTCCACAGGCTAATCTGTGACCCTTGTAGGAGGCATGACCACACGTGCCAATCTCTGAGTGATGCACCAACCCCTCATCCATAGCGTGGTATTCCAGGTTGCGTGTCACCATCCCAGGAAAAAAATACGAGAAAAGTTTCACCCTCCTTCGTATACCCTTAAGCCGCCATCTAAATTGCATTTCACACAGATTTAGATGCAACGGCTGTCTCGCTTTTTTGGGTTGCCCTGCCACCGAGATACATTCATGAACATTTCCGGGCTGTCTGGGCAAATGCATGGAGGTGACAGGTAGTAATCCCACGTGACAGGCATGTACATTCTAAATTCACAAATGCCATCTGCCACAAAATAAAATAAAAACACAACAACACAACACACGCACATGCAATTTACGGAGTACAAATACAACCGTGGAGACGATCGCCAATTCCGCAGAGGAACGCTACGTTTGAAGTTATTATTGAGTTATTGACTCCGTTATTGAATTTACTTCCGGACTCCCCATGGCAATGCATAATGTAAAATCGAGGGAAATATCATCAGAGAGTCAAGTCTGGCAATTAAAATGTGGAATTGCCACAACTTATTGGTTGCGCATGACTTTTACTGTGTGAGACGTGCCTGTTGCTGGATTTATGATGAGGCTGAAGTGCCGTCTTGAGTTGTCTAGGCATAGGCAACTGTGACCGTGGGAAACATATCTGTCTTGACAACTGACAATGAGCCATGAGGCTGCCCTGTCACCGAATTGATACTTCCTGACACCGCTGCACGATTTCAGCAGCCTAATTTCTGCTTGTTTTTTTTAGGCTTCCTTCCCCCCGTGATGATGTCGAGGGCCCCCTGAGACTCCAGCAACAAGGCAGATGCTCGTGTCAACTGTGGACATTTCTTCCAATCATTTACCCTTTGTTTTTCTTCATCACTCCCGAACAATTCCACTAAATCTTAAGAATACCAAATAACCACATCTTAGTTTTAGCATAGGCAGCGCAGAAAAATGTACGGCTCTTAAACACGACTGCGTCGATGTTTGCGGTTGTGCCGTCTATCTCCCCAAAGTGCCTTTTGGGTCACAGCACGAGTTGTTTGTAATGATGTCCGACAATTCACTCCACGTACCAGGAGATTCTTCAGGGACCGAATATCAAAGCTCTCGGCAGAATGTCGAACATCACTCTGAACAACGCGGAATGCTCAAACAGCTTTTGGCGCATGGTTGACGTTTACCGTGAATGCCAAGCAAACTCGCGCACGTGTCATCGGTCCCACCTTTGCGCAGATATCAAGGGGACATTTACATGCGAGACGCAAGTTCGCTTGTGTCACGAGCGATGTGTGCGACTGCGACTCTTGCGTGTACATTGATGAAACCCAGAGAAAGCTTGCGGGCAGTTTGCGGGAGCACCTGATAGATGTCACCATCCCCAGTCTCACTAAACCAGCCACTGAACATGTTGCACCTGTGGGACAGCCTCCGTGACATGACCACACGTGGCTTTGTTGTCACGTTTTATCGATTCAATCTCTTGCGAATAGACAGAGAAGAGATTGATTCTGAGGATCAGAACCAACAAACACGCTTGGCCTCTGCTAATTACCCTGCACAGTTCCTACCTTTACATACTCAATGCAGGTTTACTGCCCAGGTCGATACATCTTTGTACGTACATACAGTATATATGTATGTATGTCACAGGCATGGTGAGAGTAATACTGTATGTTACCAATGTCATGAACTTGGTTCTTTCGGTAAAGTCACGTAGAAGGAAAATAATAAAAATAAAACATAATAAAATAATTCTCACGACGTTTCGGCCACAACGCAAGCAGCCGGCTGCCGGCTGCTTGCGTTGTGGCCGAAATGTCGTGAGAATTATTTTATTATGTTTTATTTTTATTATTTTATTATTTTCCTTCTACGTGACTTTACCGAAAGAACCAAGAAGATGAATCCCTGCAGTCAAGAAAGCTTTAAATCGAAATTCAATGTCATGAAGTTTGGTTTTATAGTATCAACAGTCGGAACATAATGCAGGTGAAAAGAGACACCCTGAGATACTTCAGGTGGCTGAAGCGTAGAGCTACTCTATTCATTTTCTCTGAGTGACAGTAAAAACCCCCATTTTTACTTCTAATTAGCATTGTATAAACACAACCAACATCGTGAAACTAATTTAAAATGCCAACGTTGTTTCTTCCTGTTAATTACAAGTAAAAAAAACAATCAACGGACCCATCTTATAATTGTATCGTTTTCAACTATCATGGGAATGTAATGATAACACTATGTAACACAATTTTTGTTCCTGGGGAGTATGTGTTATTTCGTAATTGCTTGTGCCTAAAAAGTCTAGAAAATGCCTATTATTCCCCACAAACTTTGCTTTTTGTGACCAAGACAGTGATATTTAGAAATGTACCTATTTTAAATGGGAAAACAGGCGAATATGTGTCTTTTCGTTCACATAATGTCAGCAAAAAAAACCATATTAATCAAAATTAACATGTATTTATACTAAAGTAAAACAAAAATGACTACAAAAAATTTAGAAGCGAGTCGTTTTTCGAGATTTACGATTATACTGTAAATCACTTTCACGAATCAGCCCCCAAATGAAGTCTCCCATCATGTGCTCGTTATACTGTCCTTGGTAGCGGCGTTCAAAGTCCAGCATATGCTGGTGGAAGCGCTGGCCTTGCTCCTCCGAGTAATCATCAAACACGAACCATTATAATAATGAAATGCACTTGTTGATGTCAAAATGGTGATTATGTGA